TATGTAAGTTATCGTTAATTTAGTTGTATAGGCTATATTCTCAAATTCATTTATTTTGTTATAATGTAACAAGTAATAATCTCAAGGTTTACTGCTTTACATGATTCTATTGTAATGTGGTTTTGGTGAAGTGTACTAAAATAAACATTCACCTGTGTATCTTACTTCTCACCGCTGATTCCTGGTGGTTTAGAGGGCAATTACTCCGAGTCCCCTCCTGTCGTTTCAAAGAATAGTACAACGGCGAGCGCGCCAAGTTTAAACGCCTCGTCCGTTTGGGTGCGGATCCACTTGTCCGTGCGATACTTCTGTCTCGCTGCGCTCCGCTTTATTCCTATGGGTGACGTCACGCGACTTTAACGCACCCGCAAAGCATCCCGGGAAGGCGGCGCTTCATTTGGAAAAATGCTGCGCGTCAAAAAGCTGGCCGATGCCCATCTTTATGCAAATGAATACATTGAACGCGACGCGTCTATCCAATGGAAGTAGAGGACATGGAGACGGGGGAAGTCTCTCGAGGGTCGATTGTCCTAGACTGGCCGCTGGCTCAAAACCACGGCCATAGTGGTAAACTTGAGGAACGCCCATCAAAGTACAAATGTGGGGAGGCGTCGCGACAGCACGCAACTTACGTGTCGCAAGAGTGGATCTCTACCGTTTGGGGAGGTGCATGCGCAGGCAGCGGAGGCTCGCGCTGCGGAGCCAGGCGAAAGTATAAACAAGGCTTAAGTCCCAATACTGTAAAACCCGACGCACATTCACATCACATTTTAATTCATTGGTAGAGTTACACTCACAGGACACTGCACTTATTCGCAATCACAAAAGTTCATTATTTGCTCGTACTTTAAAGCTTTGCCGGGTAAACATTTCATTGGCGTTCTGTTCTGACATGATGCACTTTTTCTGAGCGCGTAGGCCTACGTCCGAAGCGCGCGCGTGCATGCACTGTCAAATAGCGCCAAACTGGACTTAAAGGTATTGTAGGTAGAATTTTTTTTAAAAACTTTTTGCCAAATTTGTTTAAACTTTCTATATATATCAATGCATAATTAAAATGTAAGTACTCTGGAAAAGAGAGTATAAAAATCGAGTGTCTGTAGTCCTCTCAGGGCTGTAATAAACACAGCTACTTATCTCCATTCACTTCCACCCCCTCCATTCTGGGCTCCTTCCAAAACCACGCCCCCAAAACACATGAACGCGCGATGCCGACAGCTCACAGCTGGAGGACGCGCTTACCAGCGCCGAGCGGAGAGGAGCAGTGCATGTAGTGACATCATGTCAGACTCACATGTAATAAAATACCTAACTTTATCATTATGAATATAAACAACTAACATGGCTGTTAGTACTCACTATCAAGCTAGCATATCGATACTGTTAAAGTTTAAAATATATTGAGTTTAATTCGTTAACGAGCTAGTAGGCTAACATAAAGCAAAGCTAAAAACAGGTTGCATTGATACACGTTTTCCCATTACAATCAGTTACACTGTGATGAAGGTGAATTTTGTGTAAGATTCATAACATATACGCCGTGTTTTGCATGTAATTGTGTCTCTTACTAGTCTCTTGCCCTCCTTGAGTCAAACGAGTGCGCGCATGTGGGCAGCGCATGTAGCAGCGGGGGTGTTGCCATGGTTGCGAGAGAGTGACAGTCGCCTAAGCCAATCCTTTGTTTCGTCCCGGAAGGAAATAATGAGCTGTGTTTAGTGCAGATTAAACGGTCTAGAGTCACTCGATTTTTATACTCTTTTTATCAGAGTACTTACATTTTAATTATGCATTGATATATATAGAAAGTTTAAACAAATTTGGGAAAAAGTTTTTTAGACCAAAAACGACCTACCCAACCTTTAAAGGGTAATTAAACCCTAAAACAACTTTTTTTAGGTACTGATCTGTAAGACTGGGGCTTTATTAATGCTGTTCATTGATTCAAGTAATTTTTTTGACATTTGGGTATAAAGTGTTTTAATTCTACAATATATGGTGTAAAAACGTCTGAGTGCTGCCCTCTTCAGGTTGAACGGTGGCTACTGCAGTTGAATTTTCCTATTGGAAGTTGTGGTGCCCTGTGAAGTAAGCTGGCACCAGCTAACCACACCCCTGCCTACAGAGAGACCTGTCTCAGGTGCATGCCCCCCTCCGCTGGGCTCTGCCCACTTTTCCAGCATTTTTCAAATATTGCCAGTGGGTGGAGTCAGGCTCTGACCAGGCCTTAATGAAGAGCCAATCAAGCCAAAATTCATTCTGGCACTCTCACACACTTACATTCTCCTTTCACATACATATATATGCGAATAGACCCGCTTATAACCCCCCCCCCCCACACACACACACACACACACACACACAACATTTTTTGGCCGGAGCTATGGGTTTAGGCTCAGGGACAGGTTTGAGGACTCAGGCGGCGTGGTGGCGGCCATCTTTGGCGAGGGTTCGGGTGGTGAGGCGGCCATCTTGGCCAGAAGTGAGGGTTCAGGCGCGGCTGCCCTGGCGTGAACAGTCTCTTGTGCGGCAGGCAGGACTGATGTGATGAAGACCAGGCTCGGCAGACATGACGTGAAGGAACTCAGGCTCGGCAGACATGAACGGGTGGTATCGGCGGGACGAAACACTGGTTCGGCAGGCATGATGTGAACAGGCTCAGGCTGGTCAGGCATGACGTGAGAATTCCCTGGGTCTAGCAGTGTTCTGGATCGAGGCACGATGGTCTCCAGACACCAGATGACAGTCCAGTTCAGTCCGGTGGTGTCTGGGAGGTCGATTTGATGGTTAAATGTGGCCCCAATCCGGCGCTGGTGATGGCAAGGCTGCAAAAATCCAGGGTAAAAGTAATGAAGTTTTGGCTCTCCTGAGCCAGGACGATCATTCTGACCCTGTCGTCCATTTTGGGCGGTCCGTTCTTCTATCACGGTTGGATACAGGAAGGCAGATGGAGGCGAGGATATAATTCCAAACACGAAGGTTTAATGATAATTAAATACAGGACAGCAGAACAGGCAGCAACACACACTAAATATATAACAGGGGCAGAAGGTTCACACACACTAGATACAAAGTAGAACGGACCAAGACTGACACAGATGAACACTGATTAACAGAACACAGGTGATGCACCATATGATCTGAATATCGTCGGCATAACAGTGCTATTGAAAACCATGATGGCGAATAATTTGTCCGAGAGGCATTATGTAGCCTAAATAATAAATGGAAGCTTTAGCATAAGTTTTGCTGGGAAGACTCACCTTCTCATCTATCCAATCATGTTCTAATACTTGTGGTATAAAAGATCGGTGCTTACACATGTGCATGATGTATAAGATGAGTCATATTTACAAAAAACCAATTCATCTTTCTGACTTTTATTTCAGAAGCATCATACAGTACTACATTCTCTTTAATAAATTATTCAATAACAAATACATTTTTTAACAGTCACTTGTCGCCACTTAGTGGCGAAACCATGTAGGCTAATCGATAAATGCGTTATTTTAAGCACCAAGTTTCTATCAAAAGCTGATTTTGATCGCTATCGTAGACATCAGTGTTCATATTTGAACTTTAAACTTTTATCCAAGTACTTCTATGATCATTTTAACTATTGCATCAGAGAAATAATGATACTATGAGGTTGAAAAGACTGTTTGTGAAGCTGTTTCATGACAACATGTTCATGTTTCATGTTCAGCGGCAGCGCCAACACAGTTTTGAATATTGCGATATGATTTTGTCAAAGTGTAATAGACGGACGAATTGAAAGATTGAGTGGGTGTTTGAATCAAAATCACAGTCTTTTAAAGATGAATCGTTCAGCTCTATTGTCTTATCTCTCTCTCAGCATACGAGTAGCGCGAGGGCTTTCAGTGCTCAGTCTCACGTCTCTTCCATGCGTGAGGGATATTACGACACTTAACACTCATAACGACACATTTCATCCTCTGTTGGAACGAAAGTGGCCAACTTATGTCAACCTCTTCTCCAAGCAAGGACAAAAATAAAGCAAATGAATTTGAAATTAATATCGATTCTGGAATAAAACAAAAACGGTTTTAGAATCGTAAAAAAATAGATCACGATAGCTAGGTGAATCAATTTTGTATAAAACTCTTTCAGTTTTACAAATGGGGCCATCTTTGAAGGATTAAAAAATAACGTTTTTTGTTATCATTTTCAAAATAACATTTGAAGTGCTGGAATGTCTAATTACAAACACTGTGTTTCTTATTCAAATATTCCCACTATCTTCAAGTCTGAATTGCAATCAATAAAACTGGTTAATTGGCAAATTAGGTAATTGTGACAATTGCATTAAAATATAAACACCGCATTTACTTTGGTTTAATGTCAATGAAGGGGTACTTGAGCCTTATTGATGGTGTTGTGGGGGTACTTGAGGCTAAAAAGGTTGGGACACTGGTTTAGATTATTTAATTTGTAAGTACTAAATAAGCTATATCATAGATTATGTATATATATATATATATATATATATATATATATATATATATATATATATATATATATATATATAAAATCAAACCGCTATGCTGGGTAAAATTAGCCCAACCTGCATGTGTTCTGTCCTATATTTACCCAGCCATTGGGCTAAAAACAACCCCAAATATACACATGCATGTGAAAGGGGAATGTATTTGTGTGAGAGAGTAGAAATATATGTATGTGAAAAGGAGTATGTGAGAGAGTAGAATATACTGTGTATATGAAAGGAATATTTAAGTGTGTGAGAATAGAAATACCGTATATGTATGTGAAAGGAGAATGTAAGTGTGTGAGAGTGAATGAATGAATTCACTTAAGGCTTGTATGGCCCCTCATAATATACTGTATATAGGTTTACACAAATAAATTCTTGGTCAGAAAGAATTTAATTAAATCTGTTGTGTTAAACTGGGCTTAATTAAACATGAAACCTGCAGTATTTCATGTAGTAAAGTGTTTTATATTTCTGTTCTTTGTGTCATTAGTGTAAGATCAGGCTCACATGTGTCCAGCTCTGTGTCTGTGACGAGTGACTGCTCAAAAGATGAAGAACCAAACTTCAGTGAGAGAAAACCATCAACTAACAAAAGGTATTTCATGTGTTTCTTATTGTTGGTCACACATAGATTGTTAGCGAATATTTCAGCAAATATTTATCATAAAACTTTGGTGGAAAAATATTTCCAATTTACAAACAGCAGTGCTATAAAACCCCAAAGGGAGCATCAGCAAAAGGATTGAAATCTTGAATTGAATTATAATTAAAAATTTTGGAATATGCATTAATTGGAGTCTGCTTACATAACTACTGCACAACATATTAAAATACCTATTGTCAATGCAGAATTCACTATATGTTTATACTTAAATAGATCCTATACTTTATAGATAGAAAACTTAAATTAAACTAAGGTTTTCTGGTTCTCTGCTAAAAAATAATAATACAATTTTGCCTGAAAATGCAGTATTTTCTTTTCTTGGCTAACAGGCTTCAGTGTGAGACATTAGACTCAGACGGTCAGACTCACAGGAACAACAATAATTTCAATGACAATCTCCTAGGCATCTTCCAGGTAGGAAAACACATTTTCATGCATGTCTATATTTATAAAAAACAAATAGTTTACTGAACTTTTTTTGCAAAAATAATAGAATAGAAATTTTAAGAACCCATAAAATAATAATCAAAATTTAAAAAGACGAGTGTTGTTTTTGTACTTTTTGTGCTGCGGATTGATATGTTTGGTTTTTAACTGGTTTCTTTTAGAAAATATTTTTAATTACTGAATAAATAGTAACACGGCTCAGCGTGCCGTGTGCCGTCGAGCTGCCGGCCGACAGCGCGGGTTGTCAGGGCAACCCAGCACGCGTCGTTCGGCGCTCTAGATGCGCGGTCGAGACTCAAGTGCCTCAAACGAGGTGGAGTCCCTTTGCCTATTCCCCGATCTAGTTCCTCTTCTGGTGGCCACAAGAAAAGGGCTACTTTGGCTAATAGCACTGGTGATCTGAGTAGAATAAAATAGAATAGAATAGAATAGAATTGAATAGAATAGAAAAACTTTAATGATCCTCGAGGGGAAATTGCGGAAATTTTCCCTCGGAAAGCATAACCACGTCGGCACGTTGTTCGTCTTGCCTTTCTCACGAGGGCTTGAGCGCTCAGCGTGCCGTGTGCCATCGAGGTTGATGGCCACGTTCACTGTCTCACATGCCTGGCAGCTTTCGGATGGGATTACTGGTAATTCTCATGAGGGACCAAGGATTTCATTCAGGGCTCCAGGGGAGGATCAGATGTCGATCGCTGCATCGGAGAGAGGGCTGTTACACTCTGAAAATGAAGATGATGCTGAGTTCCCACTGTAATGGTGTGTGTGCTCATGCTGAATCAGATTCAGACTTGACAGCTACACTTTCCCGGGCTACTCTGGGGGTGCAGTGCAACGCGTAATCGCCTTGCCCCGCCCCGTGCTTGCCCGGATGTGTGTGAAAAACTTTGGCAGTATGGAAGCATATTGGCGCCAATATGGCAAGCCAAACATGGCAAAATCTGCAGAAAAAGTTTTTCCTCTCTCACTACCCTTGGTGGTGGGGTGGCGTTGCTAATGGTAGACTGCCTCTTCCCTCCATGTGATGGCCTGTGGAGGGCCAAAACACGCAATGCAAGAGGGTAGTTCTGAGTCAGGGTTGAGCTGTGCATAGTGACTGACTGTGGTTTAAGTCACAGTGCTGGCCCTCGGCCAGACGATGTCCACGCTGGTGGTCCAGAAGCGCCCCTGGGCTAAACCTTGGAGAGGTGAGAGACATTGCCAAAGCTCGCTTTCTCGATGCTCCCATCCCCCGAGGTGGCCTTTTTCGGCGACACTGTTGGAGACTGTGCCCAGCGGTTCTCCACAGTTCAGAAGCAGGCTGAGGTAACCAAAGAGCTTGTGATACCAGAGTCACTCGTGGGCTACCTCTCAGTCTGTTTGTCGCCAAGGGTGTCAGTCCCCTGCAAAACCCATCCAAAAAAAACTCTGTCACAGCCAGCTCTACTGTGACGTTGAGCTTTCGCAGGAAGACTGCGCCACCTGTCTCAGCAGCCCTGAGACGGGGAACCCAGAGTCAGCTGCTCTTCCCTGGTGGAGGGCCAGGCAGAGAATCTTTTGTTTATTCAAATTCTGTTCCGCCGCTGGCATCTGTCAGCGGTACCCAAATTGTCAGTAAGAGCAGCTTCTCTATCTCTGGGTCTCAAGAGGGCGTGGATGGCAGTGAGCGACGCTTCCATGCCTTGCCACTCCCGTCCCCCTCTATCGCCAGAGGGCAGCAGTGTGTGGTTCGGGGACACTACCAGGCCTTCCCATGCACCCTCTGCCCCACCCTGGAACCAGGTAGTGTTGTAGCCGGTCCCTTCAGCCGATATGAAGACAGGGTTCTACTGCCCCTACTTCATTGTACCCAAGAAAGGTGGTGGGTTACAGCTGATCTTGGACCTGCGAACCTTGAATCGGGCCCTGCACAAGCTCCCGTTCAAGATGCTCATACAGAAACGCATTTTCGAATGCATCCGTCCCCAAGATTGGTTTGCAGCGATCGACCTGAAGGACGCGTACTTTCATGTCTCAATTCTTCCTCGACGCAAACCGTTCCTGCGGTTTACGTTTGAGGGACAGTCGGGCATATCAGTACAAAGTCCTACCCTTCAGGTTGTCCCTGTCGCCCCGCATCTTTATGCCTTGCCCGTTCGGGTTGCGAGCACACTCAACTAGAAGTGTTGCTTTCCCCCCTATAATTAGGCTGGAACCACCCCATATGCCATATGTTGTACTACCCTGCTTGGCTAGTCCATATGTGTATCCATCACAGTGCCTCCCTCCGGGGTAGCATGTGGCTTCTGCAGCGCTCCCTTCCCCAAGGGCACTTATCTAATAAGTCACACTGAGTGGGTCTTGCGGAACAGCAGTGACTGACCTTCTCTGCTTTGAGCTCCTACTTCTGCCCAACTCTCAGTCAGGCCAAGAGGCTCAAGCGGAGCGCTGGAAGGGCTAGCAGCCTTGGCGTTTTGGTAGATATCCCCATTCGTCAGATTCACTTCTGACTCACGTTGTAGTGATCTGATGAAGGGGAACGTCTCGGTTACGTATGGTAACCCTCGTTCCCCGAGGAGGGAACGGAGACGTGAGTCCCCTCGCAACAGTTGCTGAGCTTCCGCTGTACGGCCGAGTCACAGGTCCGGCTCCGCAGCGGAAAAACAAGGATGCGAACGCACCTGCTGCTTATTATATGCTTGCGCCGCGATGCACAGCAGCTGGTGCAATTATCGCATGCCAATGTGCATTGGCTCGTTTAGTTTCACTCGAAGTAGATAGGCTCTCGCAAGCGATCCCCATTCGTCAGAATCACTTCTGACTCACGTCTCCGTTCCCTCCTTGGGGAACAAGGGTTACCATACGTAACCGAGAGGTTTTGACCAAATATGGATGTGGATCTGTTTAAATTTTGTTGTTCTGTCTCTTATTTTACTTGCTTTGTTTGTAGGATATTGAGAGCAAAATAATCATATTTCTGAAGAATGAACTTGAAATGTTTAAGAAAATATTACAAAATGGGAACACACAACCCATTGTGAAGGCCTTTAATGAGAATAGATGCAGTATCAAATCAGCAGCTCTTGATCTCACACTACATTACCTGAGAGAGATGGAGCAAGATGAAGCTGCTGATGCTCTAGAAGGTAAGAGACTCGTGGTCATCTATCTGATTGTCACTTATAAATGTAGGAGAGAAAATTAAGACTAAAACTATCTATTTTCTATTCCTGTGTTTAGATAAGCTGCTCTTCATTCATCAGCTAAAATGTAGCCTAAAGAAGAAGTATCAATGTGTGTTTGAAGGAATTGCAAAGCAAGGTGACTCCACACTTCTGAATAACATCTACACAGATCTCTATATCACTCAGGGTGGTAGTGAACAGATCAATACTGAACATGAGGTGAGACAGATTGAAGTTGCTTCCAGGCAAGAGATACAGGTTGAATGCACACATTTATTTGAAGCACCTGAACAAGATGAGGAGATCCGAACTGTACTGACAAAAGGAGTCGCTGGCATTGGAAAATCAGTCTCCGTACAAAAGTTCATTCTGGACTGGGCTGAAGGAAAAGAAAATCAAGATATCAGCTTCATATTTCCTCTTCAATTCAGAGAGATGAACTTAAAGGAGAAAGTTAAATTAAGGCTAAATTTTTGTGGCTTAACAGACAAAAGCTGTTCAGTTCTGGCTACAATTCTTGGATCAGATACCAATCTGAAAGAGCTGAACATGAACAATAATAATCTGCAGGATTCAGGAGTGAAGCTGCTCTGCACTGGACTGAAGAATATAAAGTGTAAATTGGAGATACTGAGGTAAGTTGTGTTACAACAGAAGATATTTTTAGATATTCTTTACTTTTAAATATATTTCGATCATGACAACTCAGAAAAGTTTTTTTTTAAATATATTTGGCTTGGAGGACTAGATTTGCTACGCGGATGATGCTGTTAATTATTGCTGCTGCTGCAGAGCAAGTATGAACTTGCTTCTGCTAATAAATACACAGACATGATGCTGTGATTATGTAAGATATGCTGCTTTTGCATAAATAGATATTCATAAATCCCGTAGCAGATCTAGGCTGGTGGAGCTGGGGGAGGTGGAGGATTTCAGAGGAAACATGATAGAGCACTGCAGAGCTGGCTTACGGCAAACAATGAACCAGACTATTTAAATGTGGAGCAAGCAATCTCATTGGCTGCAGGATCAGCAGAGGCCAATCAGCTTGTGCCATGATGTGATTGCATGTAAAGGACAATCGTCTAGGAATATAATTAAAGTTTTGGCCAAAACTAAATGGAGAGCTGAGTACACTGTCCTTTTGCGACTTTTTCAAGTATTGCTTGATCCTGTTTGGAATATGGGAGCATAATTTATGATTACGTCAGGTGTAGATTTAGAAGTTATGCTTTTCTCCTGTTGTAGTTTAATTCACGGGACCGGACACCAGTAATTTTGCCAAGAGATCTCTTATTTATTTGATCATAATATCAAGACATAGGTGAGAGTGACAGTGGACCAAACAAAGGTCTTCATTCCAGCTTCTCTGTTCCTCTGGACAAAGAGGTTCTGTTTTATATGCTACTGACCAAAAAAAAACCTACATTACCAGAGGAACATATGGTTTCTGTTTAACATGGAACGTATCCCATCGCTATGCTTCGGTGGAAACTTCATACACTGCATATACATTTCATGTCTCTAACTCTTCCAGCACACTCTCTTACCCCTGTTCATGCAGTCTAGCTTGTCCCAATGTCTCTCTCATCTACATGTATTCAAGAACACTATGATTCACAAAATACAATGATTACAAATGATTATGGATACAAATAAAAGTAATAACAATACTGAGAATAATATTAAATGATGAAATTTTAAAAACAGATGTTTGACACGGTGCATCATCAGGGATTATGGCTTGCCTTGGGAGCATTCAGAACTTCACCAGTTCAGAGTTTGTACATTGAAGCCAATGTACTATCACTTCAAAATAGCCAGCTGAAGCGATCATTTCAATATGCTATTAAACTAAAAGCAAACCAAAATAACCCCCTTCTCCCTTATTTCCTGCTCTCTTTCTCTCTCTCTCTCTCTCTCTCTCTCTCTCTCTCTCTCTCTCTCTCTCTCTCTCTCTCTCTCTCTCTCTCTCTCTCTCTCTCTCTCTCTCTCTCTCTCTCTCTCTGAGTGGATGTTGGGAGTGAGTGGGCGGAGTTAGTGGGCGTGAGTGGAAGAGAACGCTGTTGAATGAGTGATTTTTTTTCTTCTTTTTTTTTCTATCTTTTGCGGTTTGTTTGTGTAAATCTTTTGTTTGGCAAGCAGATTGTTGAGCAAGTAGAGACACTGACCGAAAATGCTGTCGATCAGCAAAAGCTGGTCAATATGGCAGCATCTCAAAGTTTTGATAACTTAATGCGGAGGCATGGCAATAAAGTCATCCCCGCGGAGTGTTGTTCTGTTGAGGATAGCACAATTGCAGTCGCTGAAGAAGTTGGATACTCTAGCATGTTGTCTGCAGCTAAAATTAATAGTCCTGTAGTGATTTTTTTTTTAAATAGTGTAGAGAAAGTTATTGATGATGTAGTGTAAGGGATTGTCGTTTAACGATGTGTTTACCCCTGTACTGTCTTTGGTCCAGCTGGCTAAAAGGATTACGCTTTCAAATGTACCGCCATTTATCAGAGATGATATAATTGAAAGGGAATTAATGAGACATGGTAAAATGATGTCTAAAATCAGGAAGATTGCGTTAGGTTGCAGGTCACCTCAGCTGAAACATGGTTTCATTTAGAAGACAGACACACATAATTTTAAAAAATGAAAATGAGGAGCTAAATAAAGCCTGAATTTTAAGGTGGACAACTATGATTATGTGATCTATGCAACTTCAGAAATTATGAAGTATGCTTTGGCTGTGGACAGGAAGGACATAGGATTCGTGCTTGTCCTGAGAAGGAAGATCCAGTAGTGCCTCTGAATGAGAATAGAAATAAGGAGCGGACAAATGTAGGTAGAAATGAGGAACAGATACAGTCAGAAACTGGATCACGTGTATGGAAGTAAAAAAAATGACAGACGTTTTTGAAACAAAAAAGCTTGTTGAATTGTACTACTTGGAAAAAAAATGCATGGTATTTTTAGGGCTTGCATTTTTATGAGCTGAAATTCAACATGATTGTATATTTAAGCTGTGCATTTTTCAATTCAAAACATTTCACACATGTTTTCATGAATAAAAATTCAATAATCCATATTCACCTTTCAGATTTCACTTCCAAAATATTCATTCTGTTTAAAAACACAACCTTTAATATTCGACAGACAATTTTCGGTCCATTTTATTTCGCTTTACAAATTCGCTTCCACAAATTCAGTGGTTCAAATCCGACAGAAAATTCAACATTTGACTTCCTGGAACAGCAGGAATTTCAGTAGATTGACGATTGATAATCTCTTTATGGTTATCATTAACAAGCTAATATGATTCTTTAGAGTCTAAATTAAAAGTTTGTAATATACTTTAATTAAAAATTCTCATTAGTATTGTAAGAAAACAGTTATTTTACCTGGTCAAAAACGGCTCTGTTTTCAGCACGCCGTTTCAGTGCATATGCCTTTAAATGATCATGAGCTTTGCTCACCCCGCCCCTCTGTTCTGTGTGTACACGTTTGTAACACAATAACACAATAACCATAACGCGTTGTTCATTATAAACGTGGGATTATGAATTATATTGAGAACGTCGTACATAGAAAACATGCCGTAATGTACCCTGAGTGTAAACCTTAGACGCATTCATCGTGAAGCGTGCAAGCGATTTGCAAAGATATAAATATTAATATAAAGATTAATAAAACGTTACACTCACTTCAGTTGTTCTAGAGGTTCAGCAGGAACACGAATAGCTGGTACCGATCCTTTATTCAGGAGTAGCTTCTCAGCAAAACCAGCTTTATTCTGACCCTCCTCGTTTATAAAGCAGTCTGCTGAGAAATGATTCGCGCAAACATGAGAGCATTGACGTTGCTCGTGGGGAATATTCCCTTCGAAAACAAAACTCAGCCACTGCGTCTTCAGCGGTTCGGATTTGGGAACATTAAAATGACTGCTGTGTTCGTTCTTGCACCCAAGAACAGAACACCAATCGCTTAGACGCCATTCTGCTCATAGACAGTGCTCCAGCATATCAACAATGACCGCGCCGGTCCGCGCAGACTATGATTGACAGCTGGCTCACGAGCGAGGGCGGTTCTGTGTTGAAACCCGGCTGTCAATCAACAAGCGCGGGAGGGGCGTCCGACCGTGTGACGTCACACGGTCGAACGGCTCGATTTGAGGCAGGGGAAAACATATAAGGAGATTAAAACAAAAACACTGGATGGATTTTTATCATTATATGATGGTTGTGTACAGGCACTGCCAACACACATTTCGGTACAATGAACTTGAAAAAGTGCATGTACCATTATATGACCCCTTTAATACATTACCAAAATGTGATTACAGAATATATTTAAATTATACATCAAATTGTCATTTTCTACTTACAGTCTTGCGAGTTAACAATAATGCCTGACCAGTAACTGACCATTACTTGTTGAACAAAGAAAACATTTTGGCATTAGGCATTGGCATTAGTTAATGCCTAAAAATGTAAAAGTTTTACCTTTATAAATAGAATTTAGTTAAAATTCGTCGCCGGAGTGAATGGGAACATGATTTATTGAAAATATTTGAAAATATATAAGTGGTTCTTAAGTCAAGTTGTGGAACTTCAATAAGTCAAGGCTATTTTATTTGCTTTAAACATCGGATGACGCGATTATTTTCTCTTGAATATAGATGATGCTGCGTCATTAATAAATCATGACAAAAAATGTCTTTATGATAACCAATTTACTTTTGTCACCGATGTAGTCCGCTTCGCTATGTTAGCGATTATAACGTTTACTCTTGTTTTATACAGTCTATGCGTTTACCTAGCTTGTTTAATTCCGTTCCCTCACACACCCATAGAAATGTACGCCATACACTACGTTATGTAGTCTTGTAGATAAACGTTAGACACGTGCATTTAGATTTTCACGCTTTTACTGTGTGATTTAGTCGGTTTATATCATTTCATATATTTAATCTAATCTAATATCACACGAAGAGTGCAGTTTGAATCAGTTGAATCTCAATGACTCACTCATTAACAGTGACTTTCTGCCACCTATTGGCGGTTTTAATTTCACATTTAAAGTATCTTTTCATGTTTTAAATCATTTCAAATACCATTTCAAATGCAGCTTCTGTGTTTCCTCTCCATTGCAAAGATTTTGTTGATACTTATTTAATTTGATTAGTAACAGCCCTACTGTGTCTTATTATGATAACTACATTTAATTAAATGTATGAAATCGACACAAAAGATGATACATGCATATAATTATGTTTAAAAATAAATTTAGAAAGGTAAAAATGCCAATAAAGGGTAAAAATCAATTGAAACTTATTGGAAAAAATGATTTGTCACTGCTGTGAACTGACTGACACACAGAATATGAAGAATATCAAAACCTTTAGGAGTCAGCTGTCCACGGCAGTCCTAAACATGCCAAGGTACCAGCACAATAACATACTCAGGAAAATATTGTCTAATTATCGTTATCAATAAAATCCCTGAAAATATAGAGATCCTTTTTTTTTTTTATATCGCACACCAATGAAGAATATTTTTTTGTCAATTTAGTCAGCTTTTTCATTGAACCAGAGAGAAACTTTGACAAGAAGGATAATGGCACGGTCTCCATGCTACACTAATAATAGTAGCAAGGCTTTCCTCTGTGTACACATATGCTAAGAAAGTAAAATTTTGCCTGTATTATTGGTGTCCCCTTCAAAAATTGCTCTTGAGAAATGTTATGTTTACTGCCCCCCCCCCCCCCCCCCCCCCCCAACATTTAGATGAAATTTACGCCCTTGATGATGTGCAATTGTTTTTAATTAAACTGGCTAACATGGACTTGAGGGATGTTTCCCCATTCTACAAAGCGGTTTTGAGAGCTTCAGTTTTTAAGGTTAAACCTCGTTTTGCTGGATTTTCTTCACATAATAACACAATAAACTTAAATTACTCCGTCATTTATGGTCATACAGAAAAAAAGAAATATGAAAAAAGAATCTGTAAGATGTTTACTTTTGTATGTGTCCACTTACAATCAAAACAAAACATTGTGCTTTTGTAAAATAAACAAAATAAACAGGGTTTTCTTTCTGCCTCTCCGTCTCCATTAACTTTTTTTTCTTGAGTAGGTCTATAAACTAAAACAAAAGTCAGCAAGTAATTGTCACACATACATGAGCAATATTATATCATTATAAACATTTAAGTGTGTACTTTTAAATTATCTAATTCAAAACGAAGTATGAAACCAACAAGATGTCCAGTTTCTCAGGCTAGTGCTCATTAGCCCTAATGTGACCACACCCACGCGCGCACGAGCGATTCACATGCAAATCGTCCACGTGAGGAACAAACCTGTAAACGCCCTCATTACCATAACATGACCTTGACAGTCACCCAGCGCAACCACTCACTACCCTCAGTGTTACAGCTGATTATAGCACTTCGTTTCTTTGCAACTGGGAGTTTCCAGTCGGTAGTGGGAGATGTTTTCCACATTCATAAATCGTCAGTCAGTAGAGTTATTCACCGGGTTGCAGGGGCCCTTTGCCATCATTTGAGCCAAACCGTGAAGTTTCCATCTCGTGTTGAACTGGATGTCATTCAAACCTCTTTTTTTCGGAAAGCGGGGTTTCCTCGAATAAGTGACGTAATTGACGGCACACATATCAGAATCCAGGCGCCCCGCACACACGAAGATCAGTACATGCACAGAAAAACCTATCATTCTGTTAATGTGCTGTAAGTGTGTGACCATCTGTGCGGAATAAGAAATGTTGTTGCATCGTGGCCAGGGAGTACACACGACTCTAGGATTTTGGCAGAGAGCAAGATTGGGAGAGATTGGCTTCCTGCTAGGAGACAGTGGTTACTCCTGCTGACCATGGCTCATGATGCCCTTCATGAATCCCAATAAATGCTGCACAGGCATGTATTTAATCATGTTACACTCAACTCAGATGTATAACTCATTATGACATTAAACTGACTTAATTTATTTTTTGAATCTGGACTAACTTAAAGTTGAAAATTGCTTAACCAACTTTAAAGTAAAAAACAGCTATGTTGTCTTAACTTATTGATTATATTTTTTCAGTGTATTAAAATGTAAAGTGACTTGTTGATACTAATTATGAATTTTATAATTATGTTTTCTGTAAATCTGCTACTGGGTTAACGTATACAGTAGCGTGTCCATGGCAACAATATAATTTTATAACCGCAAAACCTGGATCCCTGTCGTGAAACACTTGACGGTTTCTTTTACCTAAGAGAACAGTTTATGGGATTATATGCAACACCCTTAAGTCATTCCCTTAGGTAAGGGGAAATCACGACTTTAGTCTCATACTAATACTTAAGAGAAAAACTTAAGTTGCTTTATGCAACTGGGCACAGGACTCTTGTGCTGGAAAGTTTTGAGACTATTTAAAAAAAGGCACTATATAATATTTGTGTGAAAGTGTCTCACTACAAGGTACTCAAAGATTGCAAAGAAACAAAGTGGTCAGATGTGTTGGGGCCAGACTCATCCGCTAGAGGCAGCTGGAGGTCCCTGTACAAACTTCCTATAGAGGAACGCACTGCGGATCTCCAGTGGAGGGTTGTTCACTGGGCGATAGCTACAAACAGACATCTGGCACACATTGACGCCACTGTAAGGAACGAATGTCCTTTTTGTGGTACTGAAGAGTCAATAGATCATTTGTTTTTAAATGGTTTGAGGCTAGGATTGTTTCAGATCTTAGATGGGTGGGTTAGAGATTTGGGAGTAGTTTTTCGTTTTTGGACCAAAATATGTTGCATCAGACAGGAAAAAAATCTTGTAAATTTATTTTGTGGAAGGAGGAGCAAAGATGGCAATATTGTTAACACGGGAAAGAACACTGAAAGGAGAAGGGGAAGTAGATCCTGTGGTGTACTATAGGTCCTCCTTATAGTAATTAGAGTTGAGGCAGAGTTTGCATATTTTAAACTGATGAATAATCTGGACTGATTTATTGAAATTTGGGTTTTGAATGATGTTTTGTCCACAGTGGATTATGAAAATGAGCTGGTATTAAGTTTATGATGAGTTTTTGTGATTGTTAAAATTTTATTTAATAATTTCCTAAATTTGTGAATGTATGAATGTTTTTGTGTGGTGGATATATGTTTATGTATGTACATTTGAGAAAATAGATTTGTATGATATTTTTTTTTATTCATTATTATTTTTTCAAATTAATTAAATGTTTTTTTATCTAAATAACAAAATTGTACAAAGGTTAGGGGTTTTTTTCTTCTTTTTTTGAAAATATAAAGGATGTGTTACAGTTAAATATTGGTTGAGGTATGTCTATACAGTGTAATTATAAATTAAGGTGTGTTAAAGGTCTCCCCCCCCCCCCCCTCTCTCTCTCTCTCTCTCTCTCTCTCTAATAAAGGTTAAGCTGGTGTTGTATGACAGATGAAGGTTGTTCTGCTCTGACTTCAGCTCTGAAATCAAACCCATCACACCTGAGAGAGCTGGACCTGAGCTGGAATAAACTAGGAGACTCTGGAGTGAAAAACCTCAGTGATCTACTGATGAACCCACAATTCAAGCTGGAGAAACTACAGTTAGTATCATTATACTGTACAGCAGTTACAGTGTGATTAAAGTTTACTGTTTATTTTATTTTAAGGCAACTGGACTCAAGTCTAATCATTTATAGCACTGCACTTTCTGGTGTTTCTCCATTTAAAGAAAGATTCAGAAATACTATTAGTTAACCGCTTGTTATGTGTATCAGTAGAAAGAGCATTAAAGCATTTGAAACTATGTGGCCATAAAATTGTTTTATATACTGAAATCTGACAAATCTTTGCTTTGAAATAATACAGAAGTTATATAAGACTGAAAACAGAGTAACAAATGACAGTAAATTATTCTGACAGAGTTACAGTTATACTGGACTAATGGTACTTTTCACTAAATCTTAATTTATTAAGCAGAATCTGTGTGTAAGCAATAAGGTACTCGAGGCTGTTCTGTATGGTGAATAGGTCACGGCTGAAGGGCGTTGTTAGGCTCGACGGGAAGCGGAGTCAGCCGTGACTTATTCACCATGCAGCACTAGCCTCCAGTACGTTATTGCTTTTATAAAACGGTTACCACACAATACAAATATCTATCCATGCAACTTGCATGAAGTAAAATCACAAAAAAATAGCCTTCCTTCCACTGGAAAAAATAGTCCCTGACCGTAAACAGCAACAGAAGTTACATACATATTTTCGCCATTAGATGGCGGCAAAGACTCTTTATGAGTGAGTCAGTCAGTAGTGAAGACTTTTATATTGAAAGGACTCAAACTTGTGAACACGGAAAAGCAAGACGCAACTGATAAATGATTAGGGCACGGAAAACCCCTTGACTGTTAAAAGAACAAGATATCGCAGCGGACATTCACACATACTCGGTTACTAACGTAACCTCGGTTCCCTGAGAGTAAGGGAACGAGTATTGCATAGCTATATGCAGTGGGGGTTACATCGACTGAAGCGACATACTGCCATGCTACTCAGTGCGGCCGGCTACGCAATACTCGTTCCCTTACTCTCAGGGAACCGAGGTTACGTTAGTAACCGAGTACGTTCCCTTTTCGAGAACGGTAAATAGATAAATTCTCAGTGCTCTGACAGGACAGAGTAGATTAACCTCCCCATCCTCTGAGGAAGGGGGAAGGGCCAATAAAGTGATCACCTGTGCTCTAAACGAAGTTGAAAGCACTTTAGGCACATAGCCGTGTCTGGGTTTCAGAACGACCTTCGAGTCGCCAACACCAAACTCCAAACAAGAGGGGCTCACAGAGAGCACATCCAAATCTCCAACTCGCTTGATAGATGCTAGTGCCAGCAGGAGAGCAGTCTTTAGCGAGAGTATTTTGAGATCAGCCGACTGAAGCGGTTCAAACGGTGGGCCCTTCAGGGCCCTAAGGACCGTGGAGAGATCCCAAGACGGAACAGATGGAGGTCTGGAGGGGTTAAGCCTCCTGGCTCCTTTCAGAAACTGTACCACCAAGTCATTTTTTCCTAGTGACCGGTCAGCCACCGGAGCATGATAAGCTGCTATGGCTGCCACATACACTTTGAGCGTGGACGGGGTCCTGCCCGTTTATAATAGCTCTTGTAGGAAGGAGAGCACCACTGGTACCTCGCATGACACAGGTTCAAATCGTTTGTCCAAACACCAGCTGGAAAACACTGACCATTTAGAAGCATACAGGCGCATAGTAGAAGGGGCCCTGGCTTCATTGATCGTGCTTAGGACCTTCTCAGGAAGGTCCCTGGGTACCCATTGAGGGGCCACACATGGAGAGCCCATAAATCGCGGCGTGGGTGCCATATCGTCCCTTCCGCCTACGTGAGGAGGTCTTTCCTCAACGGAATCGGCCAGGGGACTTTGTCCACCATCTGAACCAGCTCCGGAAACCACGGTCTGGATTACCAGGAGGACTGGGCATCTGCTCTCCCTGACCCGCTCGATAACCTGGGGTATCATTGAGACAGGGGGAAATGCATAAAGGGGGCGGTTGGGCCAACGCATCCCTGTTTTTCGGGAAGAACACTGTGCAATGAGTGTTGTTCTTTGAGGCAAAGAGGTCGATTTCGGCCTCGCCAAACACTTTCCATGTCAGGCGCACCGTCTGAGGATTCTGGGACCACTCGCCTAGGGGAGGTGACAGCATATCCGCACCCGTGTTGAGGATGCCTGGGATATGTGCTGCTCTCAGGGATCTCAGATTGGCTTGTGCCCAAATAAGGAGATCTCTCACCAGGGCGTACAGGCTGCCCGACCTGACGCCGCCCTGGCGATTTACACTCACCAGCCACTTTATTAGGTACCCCATGCTAGTAACGGGTTGGACCCCCTTTTGCCTTCAGAACTGCCTCAATTCTTCGTGGCATAGATTCAACAAGGTGCTGGAAGCATTCCTCAGGGAGTTTGGTCCATATTGACATGATGGCATCACACAGTTGCCGCAGATTTGTCGGCTGCACATCCATGATGCGAATCTCCCGTTCCACCACATCCCAAAGATGCTCTATTGGGTTGAGATCTGGTGACTGTGGAGGCCATTTTAGTACAGTGAACTCATTGTCATGTTCAAGAAACCAATTTGAAATGATTAGAGCTTTGTGACATGGTGGAAGTAGCCATCAGAGGATGGGTACATGGTGGCCATAAAGGGATGGACATGGTCAGAAACAATGCTCAGGTAGGCCGTGGCATTTAAACGATGCCCAATTGGCACTAAGGGGCCTAAAGTGTGCCAGGAAAATATCCCCCACACCATTACACCACCACCACCAGCCTGCACAGTGGTAACAAGGCATGATGGTTCCATGTTCTCATTCTGTTTACGCCAAATTCTGACTCTAACATCTGAATGTCTCAACAGAAATCGAGACTCATCAGACCAGGCAACATTTTTCCAGTCTTCAACTGTTCAATTTTGGTGAGCTCTTGCAAATTGTAGCCTCTTTTTCCTATTTGTAGTGGAGATGAGTGGTACCCGGTGGAGTCTTCTGCTGTTGTAGCCCATCCGCCTCAAGGTTGTGCGTGTTGTGGCTTCACAAATGCTTTGCTGCATACCTCGGTTGTAACGAGTGGTTATTTCAGTCACTGTTGCCCTTCTATCAGCTCGAACCAGTCTGGCCATTCTCCTCTGACCTCTGGCATCAACAAGGCATTTCCCCCCACAGAACTGCCGCTCACTGGATGTTTTTTCTTTTTCTGACCATTCTCTGTAAACCCTAGAGATGGTTGTGCGTGAAAATCCCAGTAGATTAGCAGTTTCTGAAATACTCAGACCAGCCCTTCTGGCACCAACAATCATGCCACGTTCAAAGTCACTCAAATCAACTTTCTTCCCCATACTGATGCTCGGTTTGAACTGCAGGAGATTGTCTTGACCATGTCTACATGCCTAAATGCACTGAGTTGCCGCCATGTGATTGGCTGCTTAGAAATTAAGTGTTAACGAGCAGTTGGACAGGTGTACCTAATAAAGTGGCCGGTGAGTGTATGTATGACACCACAGATGTATTGTCCATCCGGACTAGCACCTATGATCCCCTGATGTTTGGCAGAAATGCTTTGAGGGCCAGACAAACTGCTTTAATTTCCAAGCAGTTGATGTGTAAGCTCTGCTCCGTGCTCAACCAGAGGCCAGAGACAGGCTTGCACTCGTGTAACGCTCCCCAACCTTGGCTGGAGGCATCTGTGAAAACCACCTTCCAAGTGGAAATCACACCCAAACTCACGCCCTCGAGATACCAGTCTTGAGCCAGCCAGGGAATCAGTGCCCGTAGACAACCCTGATTCACCGTGACATATAGGCTGCCTGACCGCCGCGAGCGGGCTGGCACATTTCTGCCAGAACTCCACATGGAGCTGGCTAAATCGTGGAATGCACCATTCTCCACGAGGCTCCACTCTCACGTCTCCGCGTCGCTCTCAAGTCCCAAGCCGAGAAGGGATACACCTCTATCCCACCTGTGGAGGAGGTGGTTGCAGTGCACCTTTGTCCGCCCTCCGCGAGATGGCGCTCAAAGTCTGCCCTCCCGTCAACAGCCTGCAGGACCACGTCTGCCTTTGTCGGCCGCGCGTATGGCGCGGTTGGATGCTGATCTTGCACGCTTCGAGAATGATCTGCAGGAAAAACTGGACTCAGGTAGCCCGGATAGCTCTGATGAAAAGCAATCTCGAAAGGATAAGAATATAAAAGACAAGAGGGGATCTAATGGAAGAGACAAGAAAGGATCAGATCAAGACTCACCCAAGCAGAAAAAACTGAAAACTGGTTCCAACATAAGTGAATCTCTGCTTGCCATGCATCCATCAGATGTCCTGGATATGCCAGTAGAAGACACAATGACGCCACGATGATTGGGCGTGACGTCACGCCGGGCTCAGTGGTAGGCTGCTGCAGTTGCCGCAGGGCAGCCAATGAGCACGCTAGACAGCCTGCTCTAGGTCTGCTAGCTGCTGCACTGCGTTGACAATAAATACAAAATTAAGGATATTTTTTTGGCTTCATAGCTCGAGAAAAGATGACTTTACCCGTAGCGTAAGCTAACTTACGCAATACTCGTTCCCTCTTCTAGAGAGAACCAAGGTTACGTTAGGTAACCGATACGTTTTTCTGAGTTTTACTGACATTTGGCCTGACAACATCTCATCTTACCGAAGATAGCCAACTGAATAAGGACAACGTGCTTTTCTCAGCATCTGACAGAAGTGTCACAAGCTTTCACACACATCTTCTAAAATAAACATCTTCTAAAGTAGCATAAAAAAAATTACGTTGTTGTTGCTTTGACTGCACACTATGCGACTCACTCAAAACGGTCTTGCAACCCACCAGTTGAGAAAGATTGACTCTATATTTACTATGCACATATCACTGTTTGATGTTCTGCTGAAGCTCATTCGGCATCTGCACATTTCCGCACTCGTTTGACTGGCACCTGCCTCTGAGGTGAAGTTGGATTGCGCGTCTGAAAAGTCTCATGTTTTTTGTGGTCTTAAAGACAGGGTTCTGCGTTTTGAAAAACGCAATTCTTGTCAATAAAAAAGAGACAGAAACAGCAGTTGTGAGAGGGGTGGCCAAGCTTAGACCAAGGGTGGCCACCCCCTAGCTCCGCTAGTGCTCAAATGCTCCTGTCTTGGATTATTCATATCATTAAGTTTCCATGATTTTGCTGGTGTATTAGTGACTGTATGGCATTTATTAATGATGCATTTAACTCACACATGAACTGAACATGGATTTAAGTCATTTTCTCTTTCTGTCTTCAGTCTGTATAGATGCAGTATTACAGAGAAACAGAGTCTCATCCTGACTTCAGCTCTGAAATCAAACCCATCACACCTGAGAGAGCTGAACCTGAGCGGGAATAATCTAGGAGACTCTGGAGTGAAAAACCTCAGTGATCTACTGATGAACCCACAATTCAAGCTGGAGAAACTACAGTTAGTATCATTATACTGTACAGCAGTTACAGTGTGATTAAAGTTTACAAGTTACACTGTTTATACCGTAGGATTGCATCTTCTGGGGTCTCATTTATAAAACTGTGTGTAGGATCCTTACTAAAAGTGTATGTGCGCCCGAAAGCCAAAAATGGCGTGTGCCAAAAAAAAAAACACTTATAAAATGGTGCGTACGCCAGAACCTGCGCAAAAATTCCCCATCGGTGACACCAAACTGCTCCGTCTCAAATGTGCGTTCACACGGCTCAGAGTTTGCGTGCATGTGCGCAAATTTTCCTGTCAAGCTTGTTTTTATAAATCACAATTTACAGGTTGGAAGTAGGGTTGGGTATCGGTTGGGTTTTATCCGATACCAGTACCTACTCTGTATTTTTTAAACGGTTCCGGTGCTTAAACGGTTCTTGAACCGGTACTTAAGAAAACGAAACCGCACACACCTTGTCAAAAAATAATACCCTTTTATTAGCAGGGCCAAGCTGGACACAATATTAACTTAAATCTTTAAACAATATAAATACAAGTAACATATGGTAATAATAAATAAACCAATATAAAATAAAAATTTACATAATATCAAATAAAACAATATTGTATCAAACATTATAAAATGGTTAGTTCCGATAAAGCCCGATAAAACACGGCTATGACCGCTTCACCCAACGGTTCTATTTATCACTGCGCAACACCCTTCGCAACCATGCGTATCAACATAAACATAAAGAAGAAGAATTAAACGGCTAAGCCCCAAGTAAAGAGAACCGCGTCAAGTATCACCACAGTGGAGCTGATGGAAATGAGACAAATATTTAATGCATGCACAATAAACGGAGATGTTCAAATACATTTAAATAAACAACAATGAAAAAAAATTATCTTGTTAGGCAGCATTCTAGCAACTAAATTAAAAACATTAATAAAATAGATTAAACAAAGTTTGAAAACGGTTCCTGCGTTGTTTTTATTTGAGCTTTCATGCATATTACACATTGGAACGTTGTTGCTGTTCACGGTCAGGGACTATTTTTTTCTAGCGGAAGGAAGGCTTTTAGTGATTTTACATCATGAAAGTTGCACTAATACCTATTTTTTTACTTTAATATTTGTATTGTGTGGTAACCATTTTATAAAAGCAATAAGGTACTCGAGGCTGTGCTGTATCATGAATAAGTCACGGCTGAAGGGGTTGCAGGGGTTCGCGTCGTGCCTAACAACGCCCTTCATCCGTGACTTATTCACGATACAGCACAGCCTCGAGTACCTTATTGCTTAAATATAATAATACTGGAGATTAATAGAGATTACTACCAGGGTAATCTAATCTCCATTTTCTCTTCCTAATGACCTGAACTGAACAGTGCAACACCTTAAATATTACTAGCTGCTGCTGTTGACGTGCTTGGCTCTGCGTCTCGTAGGTTGTCAAACACGGTGCATTGTTCGGATTTTAAGTACACTCCATGTCTCGTCAGATGTTTCATTAAATTCGAAGTGTTACCTCCCTTGCGTGATATTGCTTTAAGGCATTTGTTGCATGTCGCAGAGTCTGCATTACATGTGAAATGCAGCCAAACCTTGGAGCGTTTTACCTTCGGCATCTTCATTAACCCTCTCGCTATCAGTTCAACAAGTTGATGCCGGAACACCAGGGGGTTAAAAAAAAGTCAGGCACCGAAATCAGGCACCGAAATTTTCATTCTTATTTGGTCTCGTTACTACCGTTTACGGTTTGAACACACAAAAGTAAAGACTCAAAACTCCAAAACAAAATGAGGGAGAGTTAAAAGGTAGGTGTCATTTGATAGAAAACTTTTTATACATTTTTTTTTTTAATTACATTTGGACAATCTCATGCTGAGACACTGCTGATAAAAGACAAAAAAAGTGTGCTCAAGGGAAATTTTACATATCTTTCTTATTTGACCTTTAATAACTCAGGAAGGAAATAAGGTATGAGGGAAATATATATTCCCCTACATGTAATGTGCATCTGGATCAAACTTTGTGGTGAAAGTATAAAATAGTCAAAAGTTTTTGGAACCAAGCTAGCCTTTTTGTTTAGCCCTTGTCACCTGGAAGGCATTATTAAAATAGTTGTTTCCCTGTGAGGAATATCTTGAGTCCAAAATCAACATAATCCATAGTAAAGTTCAGACTCTAAGCTTTGAAATTACACTAATTTTGTGTTGATCAAGGCAGTAGTTTGAACAATTTGATTATTAATTTTTTCATAGCTAGGTGGTGTCGCCAGCGGTTCACCCCGGGTTTAGAGGGGTGACTCAGAATTTGTCAAGAGTTGATCAAAATTGATAGAGTTTCTAAGCTTTGAAGTGATACATATTTTGTGTAATTTCATTCAGTGGTTCCTATTGGCCCCGCATTTCGGTACCCAACCCTAATTGGAAGTGGTGTACACCTCTTTCAGGGCCAGTTTTGTGCAACGGTTATAAATGAGGCCTCTGGCCTTTGCCATTGGTCAATATTAAAATAAGGTGTTGAACTAGTAAATAATTGCATTTAAAGTACTTGAAACAATGTACTGATTGTGTACATGTTGTTATGCAGAAATATCATGAGATTTGCATCTGCTGCTGCAATAAACAAGAGATAAAAAAATAAATAAAATAAAAATAAAGAATAAACCGTTTCCAGCAAACAGAACTAGCGTGACACGATTACAAGCAGATTATGGGAACTATAGACTAAATGACAGACTATTTGCCTGCTGTAGCTCTTTAACCCCTATAACCCTCCATGAAAAAATCATAATCAAATTACTAAGCAACCACTGAATGGAATAACACAAAACATGTATCACTTCAAAGCTTAGAAACTCTGCTTTTTAATGCATCTAACCGTTTCGATCAACTCTTGACGATAATAATCAAATTGTTCAAACTACTGCCTTGATCAACACAAAATTAGTGTAATTCCAAAGCTTAGAGTCTGAACTTTACTATGGATTATGTTGATTTTGGACTCAAGATATTCCTCACAGAGAAACACCTCCCATGTGTCAAGGGCTAAACAAAAAGGCTAGCTTGGTTCCAAAAACTTTTGACTATTTTATGCTATCACCATTATCATCATTTTCTCTTTCTGTCTTCAGTCTGTATAGATGCAGTATTACAGAGAAACAGTGTCTCATTCTGACTTCAGCTCTGAAATCAAACCCATCACACCTGAGAGAGCTGAACCTGAGTGAGAATAAACTAGAAGACTCAGGAGTGAAGCACTTATGTGATGTACTGAAGGATCCACCCTGTAAACTGGAGAGATTGAGGTCAGTAACATTCACATACAAGAAAGAAAAAGGGTTTTGATATTTGAATGAAAGAGAATAAAGAGTTCCTCATTTCTCCTAATGTAGATTAAGCTGCTGTTGTATGACAGATGAAGGTTGTTCTGCTCTGACTTCAGCTCTGAAATCAAACCCATCACACCTGAGAGAGCTGAACCTGAGCGTGAATAAACTAGGAGACTCTGGAGTGAAAAACGTCAGTGATCTACTGATGAACCCACAATTCAAGCTGGAGAAACTACAGTTAGTATCATTATACTGTACAGCAGTTACAGTGTGATTAAAGTTTACTGTTTATTTTATTTTAAGGCAACTGGACTCAAGTCTAATCATTTATAGCACTGCACTTTCTGGTGTTTCTCCATTTGAAGAAAGATTCAGAAATACTATTAGTTAACAGATTTGTATGTGTTTCAGTAGAAAGAGCATTAAACTTTGAAGCATTTAAAACTTTGTGGCTATAAAATTGTTTCATATGCTGAAATCTGACAAATCTTAGCTTTGAAACAATACAGAAGTGATAACAGACTAAAAACAGAGTTACAGTTATACTGGACTAATGGTACTTTTCACTAAATCTTAATTTATTAAGCAAAATGTGTATTTAGAGGTTGTAAACGAGGATGGATCCAGACTTGAATTGTTACTAGTTTCCTCAAATGCTCCTGTCTTGGATTATTCATATCATTAAGTTTCCATGATTTTGCTGGTTTATTAGTGACTGTATGGCGTTTTTTAATGATGCTTTTAACTCACTCATTAACTTAACATGGATTTGAGTAATTTTCTCTTTCTGTATTCAGTCTGTATAGATGCAGTATTACAGAGAAACAGTGTCTCATCCTGACTTCAGCTCTGAAATCAAACCCATCACACCTGAGAGTGCTGAACCTGAGCTGGAATAAACTAGGAGACTCAGGAGTGAAGCACTTATGTGACGTACTGAAGGATTCACACTGTAAACTGGAGAGATTGAGGTCGGTCACATTCACATACAAGAATCAAAATGCTTAAAATCACTAACAGTTTAAATCAAGACACTTTATACTCACTATCTCATGAAGAGCCTGAGTTCACAGTATATTTGTGTTAAATTATTCACCTTAATGATTTGTTTGTAAGATAATCTATCTTCCTCTGTTTGAATTTCTAGTCTACAGGACTGTGGCATTACAGATGTTTCTTCTTTAACTCAGTCTTTGACTAACTCAAAAGCACTGAAGTTTTTAGAAGAGCTTGATCTGAGATACAATAATATAGGAGACTCAAAGCAGCGGCTCAGAGACGAGCTACGAGACTCAAACTGTGTCCTGAGGTGAGGAAACATCACTTTATGATATTAAAGAGATCTTCATTTACCTCTGATATCTGAACAAACCTTTCAAACATTAATTAAAGGAAATTCTCATTAAGCTTTGTTGCAACACAGGGTTTGTGTGAGAACAAAATGTGAAGTTGATTAAAATGTTTAACACAAAGGAGGAAAGGGAACAAAAGCTCACTGTCACATCTTTATACAACAACACCTGCTTTATTAACTGTGTCAGTAATAGTGAATCATTTCAGTGTGAAAACAGACTTGGTCAGATTGTAGGAAACGCTGCACTCCTGCTAAAATCAGTGCAGTTCCAGCTCCAGCTCACAGCGTCCAGCTCACATGATACATGACTCTGTCTCTAGTGTGTTTTTACTGCGACAAGCAACACGTCACACTACTTTACACTTACTTTACTCTCAGTTATTTACTAAGAGCCTACAAACATGTTTAAACTAGAGGACAAACGACTTTAACTTGTGGAACTTAAACTGAAAGCTTTTAACTAAAAATAACATTTGTATTTGCTCCCTGTGGTTTATTCTATACGCCGTACACTCATCAGCATGTGTTTCTCCTTTACGCCGTACACTCATCAGCGTGTGTTTCTCCTTTACGCCGTACACTCATCAGCGTGTGTTTCTCCTTTACAGTGACTCAATAGGAGTCGCAGGTCCTTCTGCAGTCACACCAACACCAACACAAACACGCACACATATGAACCTCATTCATGTTTTAAATGTGTTATCCTTAAAACTCAAATATTGTTTTAGAAATATCTCTGCAAGATAATGGAAAGTCATTAAATACGTAATGTTCACTTTGTTCCACTGAACACTGATTGTTCTCTCTTCTGGTTTCACCTTACAGAGTAGATGAAGATCGATCACCAAACGTCCCTAATAAACCGCTTACACCAGTTTAAATCTGTGAAACGGAGATGAGAGGATCAGTAACCATCAGGAGATCCACAGAAGAGCCTCATTACTGCCTATGAGGAGAAATAAATGTGTGATTAATGTGTAAATGTGTTTCATACAGGTGGAAGAGACTCAGACTCAACAATTAAATAATGCATGTGTATTAGAAACATGTTATATTGAATGATTAATGTTGGTTTAGTATTCATCCAAATGATGGTTTAGTTTTATTTAAAGGTGGAACAGAGGAAGCAGCTCAGATGAGTCTCAGCAGAAATCTTCAAGCTCTTCAGTTTAAGGCCTACAAATATATTAATGTTTGGATTAAACTCGTACATAATTATTAAAATTTTCTAATCATAAATGTATCATATGATATAAAGTCTACAATGAAATTTCTATGTTAAGAAAATGTATATATATATATATATATATATTTTTTTTTTTACATTATCTCGCCTACATTTTATGCACAGAATATATGTTTATTTTTGTTATTCTGTTTTATTTTATATTAAGTTAGCTATGTGTGTGTCTGTTGCTAATGCACAGATATACAGTATATTGTCTTTGTTCTGTGGATGGAGTCTCTTCTCTACAGACCAACTAAACATTTTTACTATTATGTACCTTTCAGTTGCTGTGGTCTAGATCGTATAATGCATTTTATTTAGAAATGATGATCTCTTTCACCACATTTGCATTCACATGTAAATAAAATTATAAATATACATTTAAGAGCAACAATTTTTGTTTGAAAAGTTCACTTGCTTGTTATGAGTATTATTGAAGCTACATAAGCAGATCCAGAGAGATCCAGCTACATATTTTAATCCATTATGATGCTTAAAAAAGTATTAGACGTTCTAGATGTTAAACATAAAAGCATACGAGCAATTTTCAGATTTGTTTGAGAAGAAACCACGCTGGTCTAATATATAAAGAAAGAAATGTTCCCATTGTATGTTGTGACAGCATGAGAGGTTCAGGATCTTTAGTGTGTGCAAGTTCCCAGTAAACACCACTTCAACAGTCTCTTCAGTATGTAGGTGTGTTTAATAATTAAACAAAAGGGTTTACAACTTACATCTCTTCAGCTCAAAAGTAACTTAATCTTCTTTGTTTCACAGAGGTATGTGTCCTTTCTCCAGCCACACACACCCCAATCAACAGTTTCTTCCACCCACTATTAGAGCCTGCTGCTGGTCTCATTAGCTGCAGCTGTACTCTCAGGCAGCCTGGGTTTTGTAGTCCTTAACAGACGGCCATCTTGCTCCAGCCATCTGAGGGCAATGTATCTGCCCTCCAGAACACGCCCTCTCATGATGCCACAATGTATATTTAAAGGAATAGTTCACCCAAAATAAAATGTAAATTGTCATCATTTACTCTTCCTCATGTCATTCCAAACATGTACGACTTTCTTCTGTGGAAACACTAGATATTTTGAGAAATATGTCAGTGTCTCTCTGATTGGTTGCCAACATTCTTCAAAATATCTTCTTTGTTCCACAAACGAAAGAAATGAAGAAAAATACAGATTTAAATCTACATGAAGGTAAATCAATGATGACAGAATGTATATTTTTGGGTGAACTATTCCTTTAATGCTTTAACACTTTTATCTTAGCAACTCCAAAATGTTTTGAAAACTAAATTAAATTATTCCATCTAAATTATCATCTAAACTGGATTTCGTGATTCGATCCGTGTCGCTTCGCTACACTGACAGGGTGAATTTATTTATGAATGCAAGTGTGAAAGTTCTGTCACAAAACAAAGTTTTTACATATACTTATGGAAATGCTTGACCTGTCCATAGTGGGAATACGGCGTATACCTGTGTATCACATAGACTCATGGACTTAACCAATAAGCGAGGTAAGCAGCCGCTAAGGGCCCCGGATAATTAGGGGGCCCCGACAAATACCAAGAAGCCTAAATCATATATAACTTATTAGTTTTCTATCATATATTATATGGCCTGTCTATAACCATTAAGGTTTTAACGTTATTATTACATCTGCTCGAGCAGTTCGTCGACACTTCCTTTCAGTTAAGGTTTTCAATCCGATCATGTGTTTTAAATGTCCTCTCGATCGGATTAGAAAAGGAATAAACCGCCCCTTTCAACCCAATCGAAATTTCATTCGGATCGAGCTCAATCGGATCGATGTACATTAACAGCACACAGGTGTGAATAGCAGATAGTTTTAATGAGTGAAGATCCTGCTTTCTGGCCGAAACACCGGTCAGATAATGACACGAGTGTGTGATTTTTTTCTTTTATTTGTGATCTAATTTTTCTTTTCTTTTACATTGAGAATATACAACAGTTCCAGGTTACAACAGTTGACGCATTAATATTAAAGTGTAATCACAAATATGTATAATTAACTGTAAATAATTTGTTTGTGAATTTAGTTTTTTTATTTGTGAATTCAATTGTATTTAATTTTACATTGAGAAAATAGAAGTTCCAGGTTACAGATATTTTTAACATGCAGCTTATCTACAAATGTAGAAGAAAAAAAAAACAGAATAGTAAAAAAGTATACATATATATATTTGGCCTTGACTGCATTACAGTTTTTTCCCTTATTTTAAATGTGATCAATGTTTGCATAGTTGATGTGTGGGAATGTGTATATTCTGCTGAAATGAACAAAATTACTTGAAAAAGGATTTGTTCATTTTACTGAATGAGACTCAAAGACCCGAGTCAGTAAAATGATCCGAACTTCTCATCAGTTTTTGTTATTTTGTTGTTTTTGAGTTAGTTGTTTGTCACTTTCTATTATGTTGTGCCAGGGGTTAAGCGAAAATGTTAAAAGTAAGGCCTTGTTTTTGTTAAGTAAACGATTCAATAATGATTTTGTATGTTTTCAAGAATCTCACTCTATTGCTTCAGATGTAAACCTGTGGAGATCTCAGTGGGATAGTGATATTCAGCCGTCTCATGGATCAGAACTCTCAGCGGGGCTGAGAAATAATTTTTGGAGGTGAAGTTTTGCATTCAGACTGTGTGTATGCTTAGTTTTCTCCAGTTTCCCTTGTTCACCTTCTAGACCTGTAAGAGAAAGAAACATCTCAATTCATTGAATACAGTGACACAATGGTACGTGTGTGTGTGTGTACGCAAGTACGTGTTTGTGAGAGTGTGTTTTTGGTGTGAATGACCTGGCCGTGCACTCTTCATTTTCTTCTCAGTTTTGGTTTGCTGAAATACTCACCTTGTGCATTCAAGCTTTTTAATGAACTGTCTGATTGTGAATTCACCATCTGTTTCCTGAAAAGATAATGTTTATGGATATAACTGTAAATCTGATAATGACCACTTATTAGTGTAACGGTTTAAGTCCAAGGATGAAGAGGAAGGTATAAATAACGACTCGATAAGAACTGGAAACTGTGAAATGCACAAACAATACCAGACCATGAATTAGAGAAGGAATTTACATACACATGATGATGAACTAAATAATGAACAGCTGTGATGATCAACCATGTTAACTAATTATGGCGGGAAAAGGAGAACAAATGAACACAGGCACAATGGTGATTAAACAGACTGATAGAAAACAAAGCCAAAACCAATCATAACTGACAATTATGTTTGTTGGAGGAAAGACTCATACATCGGCTATCCAAATTTCCTGATGCTTGTTTAATAATAGGAGGTGAATTTAATGTAGTTTTGATTGAGTCTATTGATAGATGGCCTCTAAGAGTACCGTAAAAT